TATATATAAAAGCATTTTTTGATTTGGTTCTGGTGGGTAATCCTTCTACTTGAGGCTGTGAAGGCAGGATCTATGTGACCTTGAGCAGGTGACTGATTATTTTAGAGCTCCATCTCCTCATCTATGAAAGATAATGTGTTAGCTTGCTGCCAGTATAGCACATACATGACATGATCAACTTATAACAAGAAAAAGTTTTCATTTGCTCACAGGTTTGGATGCAAAAAACAAGTTTATGAAAAGAGGTACCTGTCACTATGGCTTCTAAAAGAATGAGGAGAAATGGTATGGATATTTATTTAAAACATACAATACAATGATAATTGGCAGTGTATATTCAGAATAAAAACTAGAGCTAGGGATTTAGATCAGTGGCACCACACCTGCCTTGCAAGCGTAAGGTCCTGAGTTTGATCCCCAGTACTGGAAAAAAAAAAAAAAAAAAGAAATAGGGGAAGTATGACCCTTTTCCTAAATTTAATAGGAATTAAAATTTTAAATATTTTATAAAGGATCTTGCAATATAAATGATCTAATTCATTTTTCAAGAATTAACTTGTAGTCTGAAAATATATTTTAGGAATTACTCTATTGAATGAGCTAATAAAATTTTAATATCCACGTAACTCCCAAGTGATTCATACTTTAGAACCCACATTTTACTCCTGTCATGTATTCTTCTTCTTGCTTTCATCATTTTTCAAGGGCTGGGTGTCAGGTCTTGGTTATAATTCCTAAAAATCAAGAAATGGAGGGGCAATTAAAAATGAACTATTTCTGAGATGAAAAAGAAATGAGGTCCGACACCTCTCTTTTCCCTGTGTCAGCCGGGTGGAGGCATAATCCAACTGGCAGCTTGTCACACTCCCCCCTTGCCTTCCCTGGTGCCTATTCCAGGGTGGTCTGGGGTGATTAGCTCCAGGAGGCCACCACCTCTGTGGCTGCTGTGGCGGCCACCCTCTGGCCAGGTCCACAGGAGTCACAGCTTGAATGACAGCTGTCCTCCCCAGCTCCAGGAATTGCTGCTCCCTCTTTGAAAGGCAGCTGAGAAACCATGCCTGACAGGGCAAAGATGGAGCAGGGACTAGCCTCATTGTGAATTTCCCCAAAATTGCTAAACCCTAATAGGATATGATGAACATGGCTAATCCTGCTAAAGAATTCTCAAAATTGGTGAAAGTCTCAATTTCAGCCCCACTATCTTCAAGAAGAGGCAACAATTGTCAATCAAGCAGCCTCTGGTCCTAAAGTTCAGAACCGCCAGAGTGCTCCTAAGTGCCCTGCAGCTCTTCCAGGAGGTATTTGCTGAGGCCTCAGCAGGCTTGAAACTCAGACCAATCCCAGATGACTCCGCCCTGCAGCCACTCCTGATGGCTCCTGTTTATCCTTTGCCTCCCCACCCCCATGTCTACAAAGTTCTCAAGCAGGTCTGAGAAATGTACAAAACTGATCATGTGTGGTCTGCTGCCCTTCTGTAGCAGTGCTCCCTCATGGCCCCTGGATTAGTCCAGGAGGGCACCTTCCAGTGTCCACCAGTTTGTGTGGCAACACAATTCCAAATAAAGTCTCATTCCTGTGGTCCTTAAAACTACTCATGATTCTTAGCAGGTAATGTGCACAGAGCAGGTTGCACTGAAAAGAGTTGGTAACACTCCGGGCTGCTAGCCTGGAAGAGTGCTAGAGACCAGCAGCAACGGATGAAGATCGCGATGCAGCAACCAGCCACAGAGACGAGAAGAGACTAGCAGCATCTACTGATGGTAACTGTCACCAGCCAGCACCAACTGGCTGTGGCAACTGGTAGACAACAGGGGAGACTTGAATGGATCTGTGGAGTATCCCAAAGAGGCAGGAGAAGCTGGTGGAAGAAATCCAAAAAGCTGCCAAAGGGGGCCTGGAAACCTCAGCTGCTGAAGAGCTGATAGGACAGCTCGGAGCTGCTGAGATGTGTAACTGTAAGGACCAAAGGCCACTGGAACTAGGAGCTGAGAACAATACTTTACTGATTCATGATTTCCTTCTGAACTGAGCAAAAGAATCCTTATTGGACATATTGATGTTGGCACTTGTTTCTTCATGGAAGAAGTAGAAACACCCACTAAAGAGGACACGATTTAATATCAGGTGACCTGACTTCCAAAAGGGTTCTGTTAGTATCTAATTCCTCAGAGTGACTGGCTGAAACATGTTAGCCTGAAAATAAAAGAAATACAAATAATAACTTTAATAATGAAATTATTTCTCTAAATTTATTAAAGAATAAACAAAATACCTAGAGTATAAAGTTTTTTCTACCTGCCAAAAGGAAGTTCAGTGTGATCTCTGGCATTTCCAAAGAATTGTCTCTTCTAATTCTGGTGAATTGCCCCTGTGGGACTGAAGATGGACATAATTATTCATATGATATGATTCCCACGTTTAACTGGAAGAAACATGCCAAGAGGAAAGTCTGTCGTGGTCAGAAAAGCAGTTCCTTGGTATTCAGCAACAGTGAACACAACAGAGAGGAACAAAAGCCCCAATGATATCCAGTGTATAAGGTCTGGTTGCTGATGTTTTATGGTGATAGTAATCCAGGGCAGGTCATTAGCAAAAACATGTGAGAATGAAATGGAACATAGAAGAATTATGAATTCCAGAGAAAGCTTTGGTGCCATAATATAGAAACAACCAAATTATTTAGGCCAATGTCTCACACTCTACACCACTGAATCTCTAGCTTTATGAAGCATGGTAAAATGATCTGGGAAAATAAGAAAACATTCTTAATTTAGGGAATAGTTTCACTATTTACTTTTTAAACAATAAGGGCAACTCAAAGCTATATAGAATATTAAGCTGACCAATGTCATTTACTTTGGTGTTGCTATAGACCTGAGTTTTTAATTTTTTTTTCAATGATGTAACATAAATTTTAAAAATTTTCTATCATTTATTTGTATTCAGTTATGTACATTTTGGGTTTCCTCTAGCTTAAAAAATTAGATTATTTCTTTACAGGTGCATTATACAAATTCTTCAAACTACAAGCACAGTAAGTAGCTTCAGTAATAAATAGCTGAATTGATTGCCCATTAATTCATACTGATAAAATTATATTTGTATCTACCTACTTAAGTAAATTTGAAGTCATTTGTTCACATTTTAAAGTAAATAATGAATTTTTATCAAAAATATATTTTAAACATAAAGCATATTATTAACTTTTTTGAATGTTTAGGAAAAGCAGAATAGATCTGTGAGTATATTATTAGACATGAATATATTTTATCTCTAAACATAACTAATTTAATTAGTGAAATTTGCTGATATATTTCCAACTACAGAAAATTATTAATAAAATATATTGCTAGTGTTTCATTTTGAAAGTATATGGCAATATTATTTTTAACAACTTCCTTCTTTCTCTCCAGTAGTCAACTTTCTTTTCCATTATTGTGGGAAGCCCCACACTTCAGTCTTTTTTACCTTCATGCACTGACTTAAAACATATAATAACCCGCGCACCTACATCTTTTGTCCACCTCAGTTATTCTTGCATATTTCTGAAAAATTAATTGTCGTAAAGTGTGTATTTTACTGTCATCCTACTGTTAAGAAACTCCCTTGGCTTTCTTACTGAATAAAATCCACACCTATGATGCCAGTTTTCAGAAATTTCCTATAATCTGCCTACAATATAGCCTTACCATAGGGTGTGTTCTACCTACTTCATACACTGCTCATAATCTAAGAATATTTGACTCCATTCTCCACCTGGAATTTCCTTCCATATTTCTGTGTGCCAAAATATTATACAGCTTCAGATATGGGCTAATAGTCCTCCTGTTAAATATTAATAGCATTTTATTGCATCACTCATATTATTTTGTATTTTTTTCAGTTTGGTGAATGTGCTTAATGACCCTGTCTACTTGGAAAACTCCTATCTACCAAGGATTATTTTGGTTTTTCTGCTCAGTATTGTGCCTTGCTCATAGCAGACTCGTTAAATATCAGTTAAAAAATTCAGCTGAGACATGAATATTATTTGAATATTATTTCTCCTTTTGAGTTTTCCAAGCTGCCAAGCTCAAAACTAAATATTAAATATTCTGAAGTTGACATGATTTGTTATTTTACTAAACCAAAATAGAAATCATCCCATTTTGCATTTATTCTCATGTTCAGTGGGATTGTCAAATGCTAAAATCTGATTTTAGTTAGAAGAAATAATCCCCACAATTACTGGTATTGGAAAGAACAAAAGGAAAATAAAACAAAACATATTCATATATTGTTAGAACTATGAAAATCTGCCTTGAATGCTAACCATGAAACAAATCACAGGGAGAATTTTTACCAATGGGAAATGTCACTCATTTGATGGTTATATTTATTGCCTAAAAAACAGTTTTTAAACTTTTTGGAGTTTACCCTTGTTTTATGGTACCCATTCTTCCTAAATGTCCTATCCTCTTAATACTTGATTACTAAAATAGAAGATTAAATGAGTTAAGATCTTATTTGGTTTTGAGAACTTGTTCAAAGAAGTGGAGTATGAGACTTTCATGGCACTTTTATAGGTAATGCTGGGCATCTTGGACTACTGCACAAACAGATTAAGAAATACCAGCCTATATTATCCAACATTACCAGCAAGAACGTTTATTGTCCATTTTATAAATATTTGGTCACAATAAAATATGCTACCTGACACAACTGGATTTTCAGCATCTTTGAGTTGGAATTTATGATGTTGCAAAAAAGTGCTGAGAAAATGTTGGTTCAATTTGCATAATGCATTAAGTTTCCATACATGACATTTTTACATTTCCTATTGGCTACTAAAACATTTGACATTTCTTCATTGTTAAGTCTGAATAATTCAAGTGATAAATCTTTCATCCAATGACAATTACTTTTGATAAGTATCATTTTATTAGTACCAGAATTTATCCTCCATGTTGCTTTATTCTCCAATGGACATTTGCATAATGCTAAACATTTACTCATCAATTGGCCTGTCTGAAAAGATTTAGCTCTTTCATCTGTTTGAAATAATTAGTATCATATTTTAGATTTTTATTTATTTATTTATTTTTTGGTACCGGGGATTGAACTTGGGTCCTTGCACTTGCAAGGCAGGAGGTGGAACCACTGAGCTAAATCCCCAGCCCTAGCATCATATTTTAAAAGAAAAACTTCTATTCTTCATGTATTTGTCTTTATATCCTTACCAACTTTTTAGTAGCTTTTCTGATGCTTTTCTGATACCCCAAATGATACTGAATGTAGTTTTATAAAAGAAATATAGAAATAATAGTTATACCTAAATTTTTCAAGGGTGAAAATGGCTTCTAAAATGTGTTTCATTATTCATTCATATAATTAAGACAAACTGTTCTCTATTATTTTCTAGAATTTGGCAGAGGAAGACTTTGAACTGTGAACTGAAAAGAGCAGAAAGAACTCTGTACAGAGAGAGAGCTTACAGATGTGCCCATGACACCAGTGATAAGTGTGCACAAACGTCCACTGAAACTAACTTGTAGTTGTTCTTTGTGTTCCATGAGCTGTTTTCTGTCAGTGAATTGAAGTTTCCATCAGTGTAATTAATTTTACTTTAAATTACATGTTCAAACTTTCTGGAAATGTTTTAAAATGATTGAGAGTAAAGAGGAAGTACAGAGAATTTCTTGATGGCCTTGGCTGACGTATGTATTCTTGGAGAATCACCTCTCACTTTCCCCCCATGTAGGGTCTACATTTTCATAAAATGAAACAACACAGAAACAAACACAAAATGAGCAAAATATACAGTTTATTACCCAGGAAAGACCTTTATGGATTAAAAAACTTAATTAGACAAAATAACACATAAATAACACTGAATTTAATATGAAGTTAAATCCACCCACTGGAGTAAACATCCCCGCACAGCTCTGCCAGACTGCTGGCTTTGGCTCCTGTTTTTAAAGACATTTTACCATTAAAAATCACTTCTCATAATTATAAAACAAAGATGAAGCTTTTTATTAAGGACATTTCTTATATTAGGACAGAGGTCAAAGAGTCCACTGTGCAGGACATGGTAAGTCGTTTTGTTGCCCTAGTAAGACATGGTAGTGGCTAGGCTACAGAGGATTTAGACATTTGTTAAACTGGGGAAATTTGAGGTGTCAGAAGTATCCTGGAATGATCCTTTGTGAAGTAAAGACGTTACTGCCTCTTTCACTTTGGGTCATTGAGAAAGGGAGCACAGAACTCAGCAAGTTCTTGTGATATGGAAAGCATTTGCTACTTCTGGGGACACTTTTCTTCATTATTTGCTGGGTAAGCCCTAAAGTTGCAATTTCCAATGGGACCCAAAACGATAGAGAAAATTATAGGACACCAAAGATGTTCTAAACCTCATCCTACTACTGAGGCTGTATATATGGAAGATACAATGATATAAGATATGTTTGTGGTAAGGATGGGGAATGGATTCTCTCAGCCAGTAGCAGTATTACAACACAAATTTCTAAGACTGTTGAGAAAAACTGCTTTCTCTCACAGAGCTACTTGATTTTTGAAGAGCAAACTGTAGTTAAATACAATAGACTTTTCTTCTTCTCTTGCTTCTACCATATTTATACAAGTAAAAATTACAACACTGAGTGTAATGTAGGTCTAAATGTGGAGAAAATATTTAAGTCAACCATATTACAAATGGAGAAAAGTAAAGGAACTTAAGGGGATATTAAATTTCTATACATGGTAAATGGCAACAGTAGAATATGATTTTTACTTATGTGTGCATTGTATGATAATTAAAGCAACCACCAGAAAGCCATACAAAAAGATACTCAAAAACAACATATGTCAAAATGAAAATCTAAAAAAATTTCTGATAGCATATAGGAAAATAGGAAGAATACAACAAAGACATGAAAATCAGAAAAAACAGACAAAAAATTTAAAAGACACACTGAAAATATTAATTTTAATGTTAAACATAAAAAACTTAATACACCTATTTCAAGACAGAAATTGATAGAGTGAATTTAAAAATCTGATCCAAACCTATGCTGCCTCAATGAACCTAACTGCAAATTAAACAAAATCAGACAAAAGAAGAATGTTGTGAAATACTGATTATTAGAAAATAGGAGATTTGCATCCAGGAGACTGTGAGGACCTCCCTGGGCACACCCACCAGGCACCAGCTTGGCCCTTTGGTTAGAACAATGGAGGGTGGCTGCGCCCTGCTCCATCTGGCTCACCTGACCCACTTGCATCGGGGAGACTGTGAGGACCACCCCCTGGCATGCCCACCAGCCACCAGCTTAGCTCCCCTGCAATAACAGGCCCTGCCCCCTGCCCGCCCCGACTCTTGGCTGTACAGCTCCCTG